TGTATCGGCATCAACTGGTGCCAAAGCTTTCCTTTGTAAAATTAAGGTACCATCCCCAGAAAGCAAGGAGGAATGGACCTGGGCGACCTGAGAACTCGGTGAGAAAGCACTGTCACTCCAGATGTAGGGACTATCCTCCACAGAGTCGATGGCATCTTGATTTAGCCGATCGGCATTTTCGTTGGAAGACCAGTCGGTGAATTTGTGTTGCTTGGAGATCTCATTAAATCGCTGGACTAACCTCGTGATCTGATTGTTGATCGAAAAGATAGCTCTTATTAGACATCCAACTTTAGGATCGAGGCCATCTTTCTGTCTGCTTTTCGAGTTGGTCTGAAGGCAATTTTGCAGATTTCCTCTCAATGACAACTCAGCTTCTAGCTGTTGTTGCAGCTTGATCAGTACATTGATACGATCTGACAACTGTGAGGAGGACATCTCGTTTATGTGTAATGGTCGTATACCAATGCCACAAATGAAGGCGGACTTCAAGAGGGACTTGTCATCTTTACATACGCCACCTATTACAACATTGTTGCCAACACCAACTTCCAAAGTCTCACTGACACGGCTGGTTTTGATAGAAGACAGATTTGCATTTTTGGCCAGAAGATAGCAGGCCAGGCTACTCGAGTTGCCTTCCAACAGGGCAGATGGGCACTTGTCAAGATCAAGAAAGGGCAGGTCGAGTGGATGTAGACTCTGCGAGGAGAAGCTCTCCACAACATGTGAACTGTCTCTACCCGGGTTTATTTCGTCGATGAGGATACGTGCTGCCTCTGTCAGACTTTTCATCTTATCCAAACACTCAGAGTCTGCATCACTGGTACACTGAAGAAGTTGACGTATGGCACTGACTTGAGCCCAATCATTCAACTCGAACTCACAGAGCACTTCTTTTAGACCATGTGTGAAATACTGACGTTGCTGGGTGGTGAACTGCTTCAGCTCCTGGGCGTAGACCTTCTTCATATGTCGAAAGGTGGTGGACTTATTCTTGGCAATAGTGTCGTATTTAACGACTTCATTGCACGCCGGAGACAAATCCTGCTTAGCCTTATTACATACCTCTTCTGCCTTAACTTTGGCTCTGTATGCGGCAAAATAGTTTCTCCATAAATTTACAAGCATCCTTCTGTCTTGATTTAGAGTGTTCTGAAGTTTGGGCACAGTTTCGCACTGTTTGGCAACCTCCTTGTTCCGTTTTATTTGTCTCTTCATAGTCTCGTTTCCGCCGTTAGTCAACTCCCTGGCCAAGCTCTCGCAAGTACTGGCGAATAAATGAAAATTCTCCATTAGTTTCTCCAG